GCGGACGGCGGCCATAGCCACCGAGCTTGGAGGAAGAAGAAGAAAGACAACTAGACGAAGGAAAGACAGAAGGAGGTGACGAATGTGAGAGAAGTAGGCCATAGCCGGACTTCAGGGCGAAAGTGAAGAAGGGAGCCGCCATAGCCAAGGTTGACCAAGTTGACTGGCGTTGACCAGGAGTTGACCAGTGTTGACCAGGTGTTGACCAGCATTGACCAAGAGTTGACCGGTGTTGACCTGGGGTTGACCGGCGAAGTTTGACCCAGCATTGACTAGCGTTGACCAAGCTGGAGTGCAGAGCAAGGAGCGGTATACTCTCTTCAAGCCCTGGCCCTATCCGTATACCCTGTGGATGTGCACTCACCTTGGTACTTGCTGACGTGTCAGTTTGTCATCTCTTTCTGCATCGAGTCACTTCTGTCCAGGTCGATAGGATTCTGTGTATGTGGTCCTACAGCTGAGGTGACCAAACCTGCACGGGACTTAGTAGGGCTAAGGCTACGTCTGACGACTGACGACCTGGGAACAAGACCCCCAAGGACCGACCGGCAGGCTGCTCAGTGTGGCGTGGTAGGCCTGAACTCTAAGCTGTGGGCTGCACATCCAGCTGTCTAAGTCTTGAGAGGGCTCTACTGATCACATCGTCCTGTCTGCAACGTTAAAGAATTCCTGAGGGGTTATGGGGGATCTCCTTAAATAGTGAGTCCTGTAGCGACAGCCTAGAGTAGTTAGGACAGAGCCGAGTACTTGACAGAGTGTCAATCTGAAGCAAAAGCCAGGTGGGTTTCGGTGACAGTAGTGGCGAAAGCTTCCATCGGCTGTGGAAAGTTTCGGTGACAGTGGTTGCATAAGCATCCGTCGGCTGTGGTAACCTGGCTAAGCTGAAGAAAGACCTATGTAGTCCTTTAGAGAGTCGGGTGGGTAGTTCTACGTGTTGAGGTGTGGAATTGTCAATAATTGTGCCCTGTCAACATGGTGACCACCCCGGACCGGAACGAGCACTACCCCCTACAGTAAGGAACAGGAAGAGAAGGTCGCCGCTGTCTTACGTGAGAAGAAGGAGAGGATGGAGAAGAGGGAGTTCATCAAACAAGCGAAGAAGTTAGCTCTGTTGGAAGAGGAGGCGGCCAAGAAGAGACAGATGGAGGAGGAATTGGAGAAATGGAAGGAGCATGAGGAGAAGTTGGCCGCAGTTAAGGCCGAAGAAGAGGAAGAAGAGGAAGAAGTAGAGGCCGAAGAAGAAGAGGCCTTGTTGAGAAGAAGGGGATAGGACCACAATGCGGAAAAAAGCGTGTTTGGGGGCCCCATGTCAAACTCAGGCCCGCCTTCACTTGTGGCAGGGGCGCTGCTTGCCTGTCTCTTATACACATCTAGATGAGATCAAGGCCACAACGGCATGCTGGGCAAGTAAT